ATAGACTTTACTTTCAAAACAAAATATTTTCCTTTCCCTTCTTCACCAGGGAAAATTTAAGCCAGAAAGAGAAACTTCCACAGGCCGGTACAGATACACAGCAGTCTGAGAGAAGTGTCCATCACAGTGATGTCTTTATAGGAATAGAATGAGTCAAGGGAGTAGCTGAATTTTGTCTTGCTTTTTTTGTTTTTTAAATATATGTGTTTTTTATTGATTTTAGAGAGGAAGGGAGAGGGAGGGAGAGAAAGAAACATCAGTGATAAAAGAATCATTGATCGGCTGCCTCCTGCACTGGGGATCAAGCCCACAACTCTGGCATGTGCCCTTGACCAGAATCGAACCTGGGACTCTTCAGTCTGCAAGTCGACGGTCTATTCACTGAGCCAAACTGGCTAGGGCTGTCTTGCTTCTTAATGATGTGGCTACATGCAGTTATTGTATTTTATGTTTTAGACCCAGTCTAGTATGTTGAAACATATTAACTCAAGTATAAGTGAGAAGAGTCAGTAATAGAATGGTCATGGCATGGTGGTTGATTTGTTGAAATTGAACTTGATTGTAATTTTTTTTCAAGTTATGACCATAGAGAGTGAAACAAAGGGCTTTGTTTTGTGTTTTGAGAGCAAAGCACTTCTCTTCATAAGGAAACCTTAAAATGGTTTATGTGGAGTATTTAAGCTCAATTGTGTCATGACTGGTCACCAGGATGTAAGCTACGAATCACACCACCAAATACCTAATGAAGTTACCTGTTCAATGGAATTGCTTACCTCAGTGGTCCTCAAAGTGTGGTGGTCCTTAGCTTCACTTGAAGACTTGTTAGAAATGTGAATTCTTGGACCCTACCCAGAGCTACTGAAAGATAAACTTTGGGGTAGACCCAGTCATCCATGTTTTAACAAGACCTCCAGATGATTATGATGTTCTCTCAAGTATGAGAAGCACTGGCTTAGATTATCCATCTGAACATTAACAACAACAACAAAACCCCAAACCACGAATGATGATTTTGGTTTGTGGCCCTAATTGAATCTAGTTCTTTCTGATAGTAATAGACCACGTGGTTTCTGTGCTGCTTGTGGCTACTTCTGGAATGTTGTGAAAAGCCATGTCTTGTCATCAGTTACATGCTGATGTAGGTCTTCCTATTTTGCCATGACAAGACTATTCAGGTGTGCATAATAAAGGGATGGGTCCTGCCTGCTCTTTGAAATACTAATTTGCTTTTTTCAGAAGGTTATTTTTTTTTATCAAATTTGATTTTCATAATGACTTGTTTAATTTTTCCTTTAAGAATTATCCTGTGAAGTAGAGATAGCAGAAACTGAAACCAATAAGTTACTGACATGCAGTTCCATATATTAAATATAACAATTAAGATTACAAAATAAAATGTGATCTAAGCATTGTAACCAAGTTTGCTTTGCTGAGCCTTAAATAATTGATGCTCTTTTATTTTCATTCATGATTATTAAGCTGCATGTTCTATCATCATAAGGCCTAGTTCCTCCCTCAGATTCTGCCTCTACTTTTACCTGATATTGATAAAGTTATTAATCACTTTAAGCTTCAGTTTCTTCATCTGTGAAATGGGACAATAACTGAATATGCCTAATTATATAGGATTTTTGTGAGTAATAAATAAGACTAGACATGTAAAGCATTAGAGCTAGATAAATGCTAGCTGCTGATATTATTATTACTATTACTACCACTTCTACTCCCGTGGTTAGCAGTGGATAACTTAGAGATACATTTGTGATGGGTCACTACTTTGTGCACCACATCTGTCTGTCATCTCAACAGGGGAAGATAAGGCTTCTCATCCTCTGCTTATGTTTTTAGTATTGCTGATATCATTCTAGATTACTCCTATACATTTTGTTATTTCTTTAAGTTAATGAGTAATATTTGAGTGCCTACTGTTTGTCAAACACTAGCCCCCTGGACCCTTACTGCAGAGTGTCTCATTTATTCAAATGCATGCCTTAATTAGTGTGGTCCTTTGACTGCCATGACCATTACCTCATCCAAGGAAGCACTGTCTACTTTGGAGTGAAACTTGGACTTGACTCCTGATTAAACTGCTGAACTATGCAATATCCTATCTGTGCAGTAGACTGTGGCTTTTCCTTAGTCTTAGTTTTTATCATTAAAATGTGAATAATAGAACATAAGTTATAAGGAAGTTTGAGGATTAATTAAGACAGTATTAATAAGGTGCCTAGAATAAGGTAGGTACTGAGTAGATGCTCAATAAAGGGTAGTTCTGCTTTTCTCCCTTTCCTTCCTGTAGGCTGCCTAGAGAAACTGGCAATGGTGAAGCAAATATAGTTGCCGGTGTTCTTTTGTTTCATAATAGAATCTTTGACCTTTTTTTGAAATCAGGACATCCCCCTCAATGAATTGTTTTAAGTAGATTTTTTTTAAAAGCTTGTTACTTAGCATTAAACTGTCATGGACCCCCAGCTTCCTGTGGGCAGATGTGATAAACTTTGATTAGTAATTCTCATTCACATTTTTTGGTTCGTGCCATAAAATAATTTAAACTGTGAATCTTGGAAAAACACAAACTAAAGCCATCAGAAAGCTAGAATACAGGTATATTTTGGAGCTAGAAAGGAGATATTTGAGATCTCATCAAATTCTTTCCTTTCTCAGATCAGTGAAGAGATTTAGAGATGAAAGTGCCCAAGTTCACGTGACTCGCCAGTGGTGGTGTTGGGGCTTCCTAGTGTCTGAGCTCATGCCATCGATTTCTGCTGATGTTCATGTTTTGGTCATCAGCTCACGATCAGTCAAGAAGAGCTGTCACTTAACAGGGCTTCTATTTTATAGTACTTTACCTTCTGGGAAGTAGATCCTAGAAAATATATCAGTGGTTATGATATTTGGCCCAACTCACAATCATAAAGGGTAAAATCAAAGAATGAACTGTAGAAATCAAAGCACTCTTGATTTGGCCTTTTGGTTGTTGGTAGGAAAACCATCTTGGTGGTGTTCTGATTCCTTAAGTTTATTACTATTTGCTCCTCCACCTGCTGCCTAATGGCAGGGACACTTACATTGTAGTTTTTTGTTTTGTTTTGTTTTAATTGGAGGCTAAAAAATGGACAGAAAAGATCAGTTAGAGCAGTGGTTCCCAACCTTTTTTTGGCCATGCCCCACCTAAGCATCTCTAAAATCCTGATGCCCCTCCACCCCCATGACACATAATTCTTATTCAAAAAGTGAATTCCTATTCATGTAGAGGAAGCCTAAAAGGTCATTAACTTGGTCTAAACAAGCTTCCAAAGAACATGGTATCCATGAAAGAGAAAGATAAAAAAGCGAAAGGATAGTTGAAGTACTGAGGAAGAAATCACTAAGAAATTGTTTAAAAAAATAATATGAAATGATATGAAAAAATTGCAAAGTTTCAAAATATGTAGCAGAACTGAAATGCATAAATATGTCACAATATATATTTATATACTGTATATGAGGCCCCTAGAACCATAAGAAATGCAAAATATTCACTGTTATTAACTCATTCTCGAATTGCCCCCCCTTAAAATCAGATTGCCCGTGCCCCACATTGGGAACCACTGAGTTAGAGGGTATAAATTAAGAATGATAAACATTACACCCTCTCTGAGAACAGAAAGATTGACAAAATATGTGGCTTTTGAACTCTTTGAATTACCAAAGCATGATAGGAAGTAAAATGTTAGACAAGTGTGAAGTAGTTGATAATCATTATAATTGGTCATAAGGTTGGGTTGTGAGGGGTGGGGAGTACATACGAGGCTAGGGATGGCAAGGGTATGGCACTTGTGCCTTTGGGTTTTGTCCCTTGCTCTTAGTCTGCATCAGCAAACTGCTGAAACTGTTTCCTTCTGAATTCATGGAGCCTACAAATCCTCAATACATTGTGTCTGAAGATCTTTGAGTTAAAAATTAATGTAAGAGACAATATCACTGAAGAGAAGGGTATGGAATCCTGCTTGTCAAAATCCTTTTTCTTTACGCTGGCTGCAGTCTGTGTGTGTGTACTTATGCCTAAGATGCGATGGAAGTGTGTATCACTGCCTCTTTTCAAAGTTTAATTTGAAAATGTTTCCATCTCCAACTTTTCACTTATCAAGCTAAGCATTAATTTTAGTTATCGCTAGTACTTTTCATCCAGAAGAATGTCAGAGCAGTTGGGTTGTTGTGTATTTTAAGATTCCTCTCCCACTCCTGAAATGCATTGTGTTAAGCCAGGATTTAGACCGCAGTGTTCACACTGCCTCCTTTCAAAGTTTAATTTGAAAATGTTTCCATCTCCAACTTTTCACTTATCAAGCTAAGCATTAATTTTAGTTATCGCTAGTACTTTTCATCCAGAAGAATGTCAGAGCAGTTGGGTTGTTGTGTATTTTAAGATTCCTCTCCCACTCCTGAAATGCATTGTGTTAAGCCAGGATTTAGACCGCAGTGTTCTCCACGCCTTTTCTTCCCTTTAATTTTAATGGCAGCAAAATCAAGACTACTTTGTCTCTTAGTGGTCTTGCAGACATTTGATGACTATTTTTAAATCTTGGCTTGTAAGAAAATAGAGCTATTCTGAATAGCATGTGTAGATGCCACTCCAGTCAGTAACTGCTGGAACCAGTTTGGAAAGCTTTGCCATGGTATTGCGATCTTAAGGACAGAGAAAGATTACAAATTTTATTTTTACATTCATTGAATGTTCTGTACTACTTTTTATTGTTTCTGCTTTATTAGCAAAAAGTAATGCTTCTATTGAAATTATTATTAGACATCAAATCACTCTTTGCTGAGCCCAGGGTACTTAACTTTTGTGTTTTTGATGTTTTGTAAGTGTTCAAATTAAATGTAGCAATAATGTACATTGCACAGAGAGGGAATAAAAATGCCACTTTTTGATCTGTGTCCCATCCTGTGCAGCTTATTGTTCCCTTTTATAATTAAATGCTTTTTTAAAAAGTGGTTTGTGGCTGTTTGTGTTACAGGATCGCCCCAGGACATTCGACATGCACTCCCTGGAGAGTTCACTCATTGACATAATGAGAGCTGAAAATGATTCGATTAAAGGTACTTTTAAAATGTAACTATTTGATTTTAATAGTTTAAAATTTATACTATCTACATAATCTGATCAACACTATGGCAAATATTTTGGATTCATATTTTGTATCTGATCAGGTCCATCAATTTTATGTATGTTGGACTTTTTGTTAAATATTTGGTAGCCACTGACTGTAGGCCCATCATGAAATTAAGAGAACTGCCAGAGTACTAATTGCTTAGGGTAGGCAGTTAGCTGAAAAGACGTGAACCGTACACCTCATTGTTTTATATCTCAGGCAAAAACTGCTCATTGCCTTAAACCTACGTGTCTGACCCCATGACAGTGACGAGACACTAGAAAGAGTGCAAATGTTGGTAGATTTTTTTAGCCTAGTTTCACATTTTTAAAAATGGCCGAGAGTTTCAAAGTTAAAATGATGTTTTGTTGTTCTTGAAATATTTCCTGTGTATTGTTAAAAAAAAAATAGTGCTATTTCTACTTGTCTCAATTCTATTTCTCAATTCTATTTCTGACTATCTGTATTATCCTGAATAAGACATGTAAGTTTGAGTAAGCCTCAATTTCATCTTTACAGCAAGGCATTTCGAATCACCCTAATAACAAGGGCTTTATAATGGGGAGCTTTAAAAATAACATACAAATGCCTGGATCCCATCCCAGTTGATGCTCATGTGTGGCCAGGGTTGAGAATAACCGAATAGATGTTTTCTAAGGGCACTTCCAGCTCTGATTTTGTGAAAACTACCCCACAAAATAATTTTTTTCTGCACAAATATATTTTACTTGAAAGTACTTGTCATCCCACTTAAATTGTTTGTTTGTTGTTTGTTCGTTCGTTCGTTCATTCATTTATTCATTCATTCATTCATTCAGTGTTAATGAGCCTGCTTTGTGCCGGACACAGCTTGCACTGACTGAGGTCAGAAGTGGCAAGGCAGCCTGTTGCTTCAAATGGTGACCAACCTGGCCCAGTTTTTCTTTATTTTTTTAAAATTCGGTTTATCATATTACTGATGCAGTAAAACAAAATACTTTTCAACAAATGAAAAATGGTAAATTTTTTAATGAGGAAAGCTTTTTGAAGTCTGGAGAAATGAAAAATAATAAATATTTTAAAATGCATCCATCCGATTAGTTAACTTTGGAATAAGATAATTTTGAAGGTCTTCACTTATGTCCTTGTGGAATCTTGATGGGTAACTAACCAGATGCTACTGTTACTGAGGAAAGATGATATCTCATTCAGAATTGGCCACTTCTTAGCACTTTGACTTTGAATAGTCCTTCAGCCTCTTTGACCTTTCTTCTCATTTTCTCATCAGAAAAATGCAGAGTCTAAGGTCCTTTCTAGACCAGGAAAAACTGCACTCTTAAAAAGTAGCTAATGGAGAAATCTGAATAAGGTCTGCGGATTGTACCAATGTCAGTTGCCTGGTTTTGTACTGTAGTTAAGACATAACCATTAAGCCACAGTGGATAAAGGGTTCATGGGATCACTCTGTTCCATTTTTTGCAACTTGCTGCAAATATATAATTATTTCAGAATTAAAAATTAAGTCCAGAAAAAGTAGCTAAAGGACGTTTGTTTATTCTTAATGTATTTGATTCCTTCAGCAACTATTTTTTTTGGGGGGGGGGGAGCCTCTTAGATACTAGATACTAGGGATAATAAATAATTAGACTTCATTTTCATGATAAGTGCCTATTTGTTTATTACAGAAAGCACAATTTACAAACAGCATCACATATAAGTAGTTTATTTTGATGCTCAAAGAAGCAAGCTTCTAACTAGTATATAGGTTAGATAAAAGAGTTTGGGGGACATCTGTAATACTGTCAGCAATAAATAAATAAAATAAGAGTTTGCACACATTCTAATAGTATTAGTGGCTATCAGATATAGGCAGGACATCTCTCTCAGGTTATTTCTTCTCTCTTATTGAATTTTTGTGTAAAGTTCTGTCTTTATGTTATATTTCCTTTTTAATATCTTCTAACTAATTTTTACCTAAATTAAGTTTCTTTCAGCCGATTCTGTAGGGATAATCAAAAGTTAAGTCTGATGACAGAAAAAATGAAATTTGATTGGCCTAGTCTAGCAACATAAAGATTTTGGAAAACTGATCTGTGAGAGGAAGTGTGGCAGAATGGAGTCATATAGATCTAGATCGGGATGGCCATTCTGCCACCACAGTGTGATGCTGTATCTGTAAAATTCAGCATGCTGCCTCATTCATAGCAGACACTCAGTAAACAGTATCTGTTATTACTAACCATCCATAAAGTCTGTTATCATGCTTATCAAATGAGAAAGCCAGTTTCGATTTAAGCTGAAGTGCCAAGGTGACTTAAGTATATTAAGTGAACTTTGTGTATTGTTTCCTTCAAAGAGCAACAAAGAATTCACAGATGAGTTCATGGTCCTAAACTGCCAGATTATAATTATGCTTGACATTTATATCTTTTTTAACCAAGATGATGAACTTTATGTCACTGTAGTCTGTCACTACCAAATGGAATTTTGCTCAGGGAAATACGTTATTTCTCTTTAAGCTCTCTTTATTAATTTAGATACCTGTTGGGGAAACTATGCATGCTTTTCCTTGTGGTTCTGCTTGTTTTGTGAGATTTTGTTAAAGGTGAAAATAAAAGTTGAATATTTTTAAAAATAACACATTGATCTTTTAAAATAGAATATAAAATCTGACTATCCATTTTGAAAATAGCCTCTCCATGTGCTCTGCTTCCTTAGCAACAGAGAAAACAGAAAATGGGCATTAATTCTATGAGACTAGTAGAGAATGAAATGCCTCTCAGAAAAAATTCACTTAAAAGAATTAATTTGAGAATTAAAAATGGAACTCCCATTTGACCCAGTGATCCCACTTCTAGGAATATATCCCAAGAAACTAGAAACACCAATCAGAAAAGATATATGCACCCCTATGTTCATAGCAGCACAATTCACCATAGCTAAGATTTGGAAACAGCCTAAGTGCCCATCAGCAGATGAGTGGATTAGAAAACTGTGGTACATCTACACAATGGAATACTACACTGCTATAAAAAGGAAGGAACTCCCATATGCAACAGCTTGGATGGACCTGGAGAGCATTATGCTAAGCGAAATAAGTCAGTTGGAGAAAGATAAATATCACATGATCTCACTCATTTGTGGAATATAATGAACAACATAAACTGATGAACAAAAACAGATCCAGATAGAAAAGCATCGATCAGACTGTCAAACCTCAGAAGGAAGGCAGGGGAGGTGGGGAAGAGATCAACCAAAGGACTTGTTATGCATGCATATAAGCATAAACAATGGACATAGACAGCAGGGGGGTAAGGGCATGGGGCGGGCGTGAATGGGAAGAAAAGGACACATATGTAATGCCTTAGTCAATAAAGAAAATTTTTTTAAAAGATGAAAAAAATTAATTTGAGAATTATAAAAAAACTCCATATGGAGATAAATTTTATATTTGGGTTTATTTTATCTTAAAAATAATTTATAAAATATATTACAGTTGACATTTATTTTTATCTTTCAATTGTGGTTCCTCATAGAAGTGCAATTTGCATGTATATGTTTAAATAATACAGCTTATATTTGGTACAAGAACTACAAGTAGAATGAATTGGTATGGCTATCTTAAATTAAGAATAAACACATATGTGCCTTTTCTTTTTGGGGAAAAATCTCCTTTAATGTAGTGGGGTTTAAAATTTTTATTTTTGTCATCAACAGATGGCAAAATGTTTAATATACCTAGGAACCTTCAAATACCGTTTTTGAGTTTCTTTATGAATGCCTTACTGATTGCAACTGGCTTGTTGAAAACCTTTTATCTTTTTTCTTTTTTAACATTTTAACAGATGTGCAAAAGGAGTACCTAGCCTTCATTTCATAATTCATACTAGTTATTTTTTAAATTCATACTAGTTTTTACAGTTTATTTAAAAATAGCTTTTCTAAGAATGTTAGGGCTCCTATCGTTTTCTCCATGTACAGAGGTTTGGCTCTTTGGGAGGAAAAGGGTCCTCCCTCTACCTTATCTCCATGTCCTTGCTCTGATCAGCGGGCACGCCTGGATGTTATTTTTATCTCGCAATTATGGGTTGCCTCCTCCATAACCAAAGCCAGTGGCCGTCTGCAGGAGCTCCTCCCCAGAGGCAATTTCATTTTCTTTCCTGCACACCAGTCTCAGAAGCTAAGAGCCCAAGCTGCAGACCGAGTCTGCATGTTGATCTCCCAGCTGGCAGCTTGTGCATTGCTCCAATATTATTAGGCTTATCAAGTCCTCTCTCTATCTGGACAGAAGAATCTTTCACTGTGGTTGATGTTAAGGTGGTTATTTGCGGAATATTGTATCTTGCTGTTATTTGTGTGTTTTTTCTCGCCTGTGAAATTGGTCCTTATTGTTTAGAAACGGAGCGGCGTGAAGTAGATTAAAACCACATGTGAGCACAGCTGTTCTCAGCCTTCTGAAAAATAGGCTGGACACAGTGAAATAAAGATTCGTGAAGCTGTATTACATCCAGTGCAGAGTAGGAGAGACCCTGCAAATCAAAGAGCCTTTTTATCTTTCCTGGGTGTGAAGGGAATAAAGGGATATAGGTATCAACCAAACAGTAGTAGTTTGTGGCCTGGAAGCAGAGGGGACAGCACTTGGAATCAAGGGACAGGAAAATAGCACTTGAAAATTATCAGATGTTAGATGGAGCAAAACCATCCACATTTTCATAATAATGGTTGTGTATTTAATATCCTTTATATGAAAACAACTTTGTATCCAATTTGCTTCATTTCACTAGAAAGCCAAATGAGACAGGGCAATTATTGGGAGAACAAAGGCAATCTATACATTGTCAAAACACTATAGTTGTTCTTCAGATAACAATTAACTAAATTATGAGTCAGAGTATCATCTTATTTGCCCTCAGCATGTTGTGAAATTGGTGTCTTTTTCTTTTCATAATGTTTCAGAATATATCTTTC